TCATCGTATTCACCACATTTGATGAAAGCAACGCCAATATTATTCATTATTTTAATCCTAAAAAATCCTTTTTTCTTATTTCCCCCAAGAAGAAAGATCAATTAGTTTTTTTTTTTTTCCGTTCAGATAAATTGCAAAAAGAAAAAGCGAGGCGTGCAAAGCTGAGAGTAGTGAAGAAATTGTCAGATGCATCAGTGGCAAGGAAAAATGTGACAATGAAACAACGGCTGGTCCAAGCACCAAAAAAACTGTAGTCATAATTATTATAGAGATTTGCTTTGGCTATCAGGAATAATCAGTTTTTACTAAGTGAATTTGATTGAAATTAGACAATTTAACACCTACGCTACTTATTAACTCTGATTCCTGTCACTGTGAAGCTAAATTTGGCCAGAAAAGTGCTAAACTCAATATTTGCATATGTTAGCGCTCCAAAAATCTTGACCGAGAAACAAGTGAAGATGCGGATTTTGTTACCGTGAGTCTCAAACTCAAAGGATTTTAAGTGAACTGCTCTTCTTGGTACTGCATTGTTGGCCTAGCGTGAATGCAAGTACGGATATCTTACTTGCCTTTTACTTTTCTGGAAGTTCGGCACTTGGTCCAGCGCCATTCGATAATATTTGATTGCTTTCTTGTAGTCCTTTTGCTTGAAATAGATGTTGGCAATGTTCACTTTCAGACGGCTCGAGTTCGCGAACATTTTGTTTTTCACGATCACCTGATAGGTATTCAGCGCTTCTGTTAACAGGTTATTCGCCATGTACTGTAATTCACTGCATTACCCAGGTTTTTGCGGAATAAGAAAAAAAGCCATATTTTCCTCCTCACTCTCTGTCGAAAAATTCTACTGAAAAAAAAGGTGTCTCTGTAAAAATAATAATGAATTCCAGCAAAATGAATACAGCAAATGAATGCGGTACCTCATATAAACAATGGCCATGCTCACCCAGGACGTCCAACCAAATAAATCATTACAGTTTCGAGTTCACTATTTGCTCCATTCAGAAATTATAGTGTCAGTTTGTATTTTTATGCAGTGAGGCTGAATCATGGCTAAGTGTAAACTGAAGACAGTTTCTTGTACTTGCGTGTTTATGCATTTTTCTACGCTTTCTTAAGAATGACCAGCCTGATGCGCTAAATTGAAGAGCACAGTAAATGTCAGATCCAAATTGAGCTGCTCGACAACTGACAGCTGTTCACGCATTTTCACAACAGC